ATATTCTCTTGCACCACTGTTTGAAGAATTTATCTTCCAGAATCTGGCAGTAAGTTTTGGGAGTTCATTTTTAGTCCATCACGAGATTGTATCTGTAGACGATAACCAGTTTAATAATTATGCACACATAAGGTGTTTTTCACTTTTTTCACACGTTTTCACTTCCAGCCTTCATGAACAATAATATATAGATTATAAGTGATTAAATACAAGATTAATAGTAGTTATTAAGATTGATGTCATTTGGAATTGGTAATTATGGCATATCGTAAAACTGGGTTGTGTTGAGCAAGCGAGCTGTTGGCATTTAGAGAGCACTGAGGGCGTGCATCAAGGGAACAAGCTAGTGAAACATTGCACGCGCAAAAGAGAAGGTCTGCACACATCCAAAAAGTTATTTTAAATGCAAAATTGATTTTCGTGAGCTCGAAATACTTTTGTCTTTACGAAACCAACATTATCTCAACAAAACTCAGATCACGCGCGTGCAAAATGCACTTTTGTGCGCTCAAAATATGATCTTTCGCGCGCAGAATTGTGGCAGAGATCTATGCCTATACAAAAGGTTAATCATACATTGAATTGAATTTGATTGCAAGTGACATATGCAAACAAGATGCAACCCCCCAGAACTAAATTACTGACACATTTTAGCAAATTTATTTTTAATGCATGTATTAAGTCATTCAACTCTAGTTCGCATCTCATCGAGGAATTACTTTGGACTGATCTGTTTAACATGTTCAGATGTTAATTTATCTTTAGGTTCAATCTCATCTATATGTTATCACAAAAGGTTTTTCTCTAACATGTAAATATTTATAATATATTTTCAGTGAATGAATTAAGATTAAATGGTTTGAACTGATTTATTTACATCTACTTAATCGTTAGAAAACCTTTCTGACAAAGTAAATTGAACGTTTCTATTTTTAAACCTAAGGCCAGGCAGAGTTCTGTTCATGTTTCATGGAAAGTTTCATTTCATTCATTCAAAGAATCGGATTATTGTTTTAAAATGTAACATACAACTTTTCCCAAAATATTTCACTTAAAAAAGGAAAAGTGTGGGGTTGGTATTTTGTTTTGAAACTCAAAGACAATGAATCACTTTAAAAGTTGCATACGTGTCCAAACAGATTTTGAGGGCACTGTATAAATGTCAAGTAAAACCTTGCAGGAATTTGGGCATTTTTGTATATTGGCACGTAAAAGTGCATTTTATCATATAGTATGCAAGTTTTGTCTCTCTGGTACAGCTCTGGCTTTTTAGTCTCCTTTTAAATCTAATTAACGTAGACTAAATGAGAGTTCAACTATGCAATAATTATTACATTTTGCGGTGGAGAGATTAGGAACAACCCAAACATGCCATGAGACTTGTTTACAACCACAAATTCAGTGTTTGGACATAGGGTGGGATGTAAACAGAGGTAAAATAATTTAAGACATACAAACCGTTGGTAGTTCAAACATTTACTCAAAACTCTCTGGGGATGCTTGATTAAATTATCGTGAGGTTCCGCCCCTGGAGTTCTATGATTGGGCGCCGAGATAAGGAGGCGTGTCACGGCTATGCTTTGTATATATAGACACACACGCTCAACTTTGACAGCCAAAACAAACTAGACGCTGTAGTGAATTGCACTTGCTATCAGATTATTCTACAGCAAATTTGATCAGTTTGATTAAGTGTTATAATTAAGTAACCAGACGACATTGCTCACATGCAAGCGCATCCTTTTAGAAGACCGGTAGCGGGTGTGTGCAAGTGACCGAGGATGGACTCGCCTATGCAGGGGTCCCACTGGCCTCCACTCGCGCTCTGTGTCCTGCTATTGGGGAGTTCCGTGTGTGCACGTGAGTCGGTCTGTCAGGGGATTTCGGTGCCATTGTGTAGAGGGATCGGTTACAACTACACCTACATGCCCAACCAATTCAACCACGACACCCAGGATGAAGCTGGGCTCGAGGTGCACCAGTTCTGGCCCCTCGTGGAGATCCAGTGTTCCCCGGACCTGCGCTTCTTTCTTTGCAGTCTGTACACGCCCATTTGCCTCGAGGACTATAAGAAGCCTTTGCCGCCGTGCAGGAGCGTGTGCGAACGGGCGAAAGCGGGATGCGCGCCTCTGATGAGGCAATACGGTTTCCCGTGGCCGGACCGAATGAGATGCGATCTTCTCCCTGTGCAGGGAGATCCAAACACTCTTTGTATGGACTACAACAGGACTGATGCTACAGCCTCACCAGCTGCTCCAAAACCAACCAGCCGACCGGGGAAGCCATACAACCGGAAAAATAAAAGCAGTCATGGATCCTCTTCATGTGAACCGGAGTGTCACTGTCGTGCGCCTATGGTGACCGTGAGCAGTGACCGTCATCCGCTGTATAACCGGGTAAAGACTGGGCAGATCTCCAATTGCGCAATGCCATGCCACAGCCCCTATCTTTCTCAGGAGGAAAGGACATTTGCCACATTTTGGATCGGAGTTTGGTCGATTTTGTGCTTCTTGTCCACCTTCGCCACAGTGGCCACTTTCCTCATTGACACTGAAAGGTTTAAATACCCCGAGCGTCCGATTATTTTTCTGTCCGCCTGCTATATGTTCGTGTCCGTGGGGTACATCATCAGACTCATCGCGGGCCACGAAAGAGTCGCGTGCAATCGGGATAACGAGGTGGACCATATCCACTATGAAACTACGGGTCCGGCGCTTTGCACGCTTGTATTTGTACTCATCTATTTTTTTGGGATGGCGAGCGCTATCTGGTGGGTGATCCTGACGTTTACGTGGTTCCTCGCGGCAGGGATGAAGTGGGGGAATGAAGCGATCGCACGATACTCGCAGTATTTTCACCTGGCCGCGTGGCTCATCCCGAGCGTCAAATCTATCGCCGCGCTCGCGCTGAGCTCGGTGGACGGGGACTCGGTTGCGGGAATCTGCTACGTGGGCAACCAAAACTTGGAAAACCTGCGGGGATTCGTGGTCGCGCCACTGGTGATCTATCTTTTTATCGGAACGGTATTTTTATTCGCGGGCTTCGTGTCTTTATTTCGGATACGGAGCGCTATTAAACAAGGAGGAACGAAAACGGACAAACTCGAGAGGTTGATGATTCGCATCGGGGTGTTTACAGTCCTGCATACGGTCATCGCCGTGGTGATTGTGGCTTGCTACGTTTACGAACAGCACAATCGAGAAGCGTGGGAAATCGCGCATGCGTGTAACTGCTCGTCGGATAAAAAAGCTCAGAAACCGGATTACGCCGTGTTTATGCTCAAGTATTTCATGTGCCTTTTGGTGGGGATCACGTCGGGTGCGTGGACGTGGTCCGGTAAAACTTTGGACTCGTGGCGAGCCCTTTGCACGCGCCGCTGCTGCCTCTGGGGTAGTAAAGGCACGAGCGGTTCGGTTTACAGTGACGCTAGCACGGGACTGACAGGAAGTTCGGTTTTGTGCGCTCCAAAACAAATGCCACTGTCCCGAGTGTGATAAAAGCGGAACTTCCTAAAAGACTTTGCAAACTGATCAACTGCTGCTTTCCTGACAAATGAGAGATGCCTATTTCCAGTATCAGGTGAGACCGGGGATAGTCACTGTGTTAAATAGCCTACTACTGTGACGACCAGTCCCGATCTCTTCAACTAAACTAAATACCAGTCATTAAATCACAGCTCAAGCCTGTGTATGAGGTTATGAATGTGCCTTTAAAAGTGTCCATACGGGTTTTTTTATATTTTCTTATGTATTTATATTAAAATGTTATTGTTAAAACAACGACATAAAATGTTTAACATTTATACAAGATTGTGTGTATTTATCATTCACTCTGACAGAAAACTATTTTGACAATAAAACACGTATTACCAAAGCATTTTTGAATGCTTATTTCATGTTTACAGAGAGCTCTCTATTGCTCACAAACATTCATACCTGTGTGAAAGTGGCAGAGTATATGTTGATCGCAACAACAGCTAGGAGGACAATATTTGGCTTTGCTCAAAATAACAGCAAATTTTGTTTGAGAGTTTAAAATGATTCATATTTCTCAGTACAGGTACAGGGCCAATACGAATAAAAAATTTACTAAAAATCATCTAAATAATTTGCCAGTGATAGGTCTATGTTCAATGATATGTACTCTGTGGATGAGATTTATTGTGTCAGAGATGTTGTAGAAGGACATAATTCCTGCTTTGTGCATAACAAGTAATAAGTAAGTAGCCTACTGAATACAGTAGGGCCTGCAGATTCAGCAGACCCACAGACAACTGTACTACACTGTAAAATCCAATAGTTTACCTTACTTAGATTTAGTTATCTTTACTTAGTTGTTATACTTACTAGGTTTTATTAAGTTACAGCTACTTTCAAGGCAAATAAAACTATTTACTTACTGTTTTGAGTGACACTTACTTAAAATATTCAAGTAGCCACAAAGGAACCAATGACATTAATAAAGCAGTGAGAGGCAGCAGTGCACTAATATGTTGCTAATGTGCAACATAACAACAGCAGAAGAAGAAAAGAAAACAAGTCTTAATCAACTAATTAGATTTTACAGTGTAACCCTGAATTCCTTAAATATTCACTTCCATCTGCATGCGCGCAAAATTATTTAAAACAAGTCATTAAGTTTTTGTTTATTTATTTCCGAAGCATTTTCTGCTTCTGGGTTTAAAAAATGTCGTAGTTTTGAGGAAGTCGTGGCCTAAAGGTTAGAGAGTCGGACTCGTAACCCAAAAGGTTGTAAAACTAAGGTGAAATAAATCACCTTCTCGTTGAAATACCTATGTCATACCCATGTTATTATACAAATGTGTGTCCTCAAACCACATAAACATGCACACACACACACACTGCTTATCAGTATTTTAGTGAAAGAATGTAAAATGCTACAACAAAACTACTAAAATGTTAACTGCGATACATTTAACCACTATTGAATGAAAAAATAGGCTATGTAAAAAATAAAACATGCTAAGTTTTTTTTTTAGTTTATCTATTAAAAACAATACAAGAGTGTTTACAACTTGCATTACAAATATAACTGCAATCACCTTTGTTAACCAGGTTAGGTGAGGATCGCACCAGACCAAGCATCTCACATGATGCTTAAACTTGTAATATGACACTATTATTAATAAAATCTATGGAGATGACAGTTTCACTGTTGATCCCAAATATATCCTAAACCCAGGATAGAGTGGTTGAGTGAATGTGGTCTGGATTCTGTGGATGAGGGTCATTGTGTCAGAAACTTTGTAGAAGGACAGAGTTCCTGCACTGTGATCCACATACACTCCAATTTTACAGGAGCTAGAGACCACAGGGAGATCAGTCTTTATGCTATTGTGACAGAATGAGTAACAGGATTTAGAGCAGAACAATCTCCAGGACTGATCATTTAACTCAAATCCACACTCAAAACCACTCCCCTTCCTTCTGATGCTCTTATATGACACTGATATATATACCCCGGACATCCCATTCCACTCAATCTCCCAGTAACAGCGTCCACACACACTCTCTCTACACAACACCTGAAAAAAATCATGAAATCGGTCCGCATGAACAGGATACCGCTGGTCAGCCCCAATAAATGTAGCCACTCTGTTGCCTTCAGACAGACAGAGATACTTATGTGCAGTGTTCGGATCCAGTGTGAGCTGGTGGGAATCTGGGGGGGGACAGATTTACACCAGGAAACTTAAAAAATATAATAAAAATCTATCTGGAGGTTAATTGTCACAAGAAAGCGATTTGCGAGTTTGCGAGACCAAGAACTCGGCTCTGGTCCTAAATTCAGGGGTGGAAACAATCTCGACATATGTCACTAATGAAACCAAGAAACCAAGACAATGTTAAAAATCTACACAAATTCCACTTTTATTTGTATTTTTTTATATATATTTTTTCCAGTTTCTTCTAGTAAGTATTTTATGACGAGTTAATCCATCTCAAGTGGTCCAATGGTTGCTTGACCATTTTTAATTTTGACTACCTCTATGTAATCAATATTGCAAAACCTCCATTTATATAAATTCATTGCGGGCCAAAACACAAAGACAGTCACTGTGGTTAAACCAAATTAAACCAAAAAAATAGACTGGGTATTTTGTAATCCAGTCACATAGAGGTAATCACTCGAAAAAACAAGGAACATCAACCAACTTTACCATTTTGGACCATTTGAGATGGAATGACCCTGATGCCTGACATATTTTTTTTTAAAGGTAATTAATCTCCAGTACTTTACCTTTACCAAATATACTCTCTATTGCTTCCTTACAGAGATCCTCAAGCATAGAGATAGATTTTCGCACATCATCATATGAAAAGAAAGAACTGATATTGATGTTTTCTGTAGATGCGGGAAGAACAGAGAGAGACTGGAAACTCTACAAAAACACATAAATGGATAGATCAAAATCAATAAAGTTTTCAAGGTGTCAAACACATTTAGAATTTTTCAATATTTTCAGACTCAAAAACAAATGTAGCGCAAATTGATTCAAGATGATGTAAAATCCTTTTGTCCAGCAAAAATCTCCTTGTAATATTAATAACATCCTAAAGTTATTTTTTTCAAATCTGTTACCTGTAGGAAATGGATGAGGTTTTCTGTGTGTAAAAGCTGCTTCAGCTCAGCGTCTCTCCTCCTCAGATCATAAATCTCCTGCTTCAGTTGCTCTAAGAGTCCTTCAGCTCGACTCACTTCAGCCTTTTCTCGATCTCTGATCATCTGTATCACCTCAGAGCGTCTTCTCTCAATGGAGCGGATCAGTTCAGTAAAGATCCTCTCACTGTTCTTCACTGCTGCCTGTGCGGAGCTCTGTTATGACACACATAGAGAATCATTCGGTTTAGTCTGTTAGCCACAGTGGGCTTCAGTGGGACTGCTCTTCTAACATCCAGCATTTATTTTTCTCCTTTGTTAATAACTCACCTTATGAGTATCCACAGCCTGTTTCAGCTTCTGAAGCTCCTTCTCTTTCTCCTGGATTCTCTGCTGAAACTTTCTTTGTATGTCCCATAATTGTTTCTGTAACAAAAACAGATAACATGCAGCTCCAGCATCATAAACGTGCATTTTACTAACATTAGCTTTTCATACCTGTTTCTCAGTCCTCTCTGCTTCAGCCGAAACTGTGTGATGATTTTTATGTTCATCCATCGTGCACAAAAAACAAATACACGTTTGGTCAGTACAACAGTAAACCTCCAGCAGTCGGTCATGTTGAGAGCAGCTCATCTCCTTGAGTCGTCCAGTGGCATTAATCAAACTGTGTTTCTTATCTTTAAAGAATCTGTCGTGTTGTTTAAGGTGGTTTTGACAGTAAGAGTTTAGACACATCAGACAAGACCCGACGGCTTTGTATTTTCTCCCTGTGCAGATGTCACACTCCACATCTCCAGGTCCAGCGTAACTGGAAGCAGGAAAAACTGTTTGGATTTTTGTCTTCTTCAGTTTCTCCACCGTTTCAGCCAGCATCACATTCTTATTTAAAGTAGGTCTTGGACTGAAGGTCTGTCTGCACTGAGGGCAGCTGTAAACTCTCTTTTGATCATCCTGATTCCAGTATTCTGCAATACAGTTCATACAGTAGCTGTGGCCACAGGGGATTGTCACTGGATCCTTCAGTAGATCCAGACAGATCGGACAGCTGAACTGATCCTGAGCCACTGAAATACTGGCTTCTGTCATTTCAGTGTACAGAAACACAGACAAAGAGAAACATGCATCAGCTTATACACTTAGGTATTGTTTTCTCTGAAATGAACAGCTTATATAGGGG